ACGACACTGCCACCCCTGAACGGAACAGGGTGTGGTGGAAATGGTTCCTGTGTGATCTATCAGAACGCCAGGAAGGGCGAGGTTTCAGAGGCTCAGCGAGCTATCATGGGCCTAATTTAATTTGGGGAGCCCCAAATGATCAAACTTTACCAGGTGGCAGGTATCCCATTAGGACCCTTCTCAATGTCTCTTGGTCTGGTTCCTCTCTGGACATCTCACTCGCGACAAACGTGAGGCTCACGCACATTGAGCTTTATGGACTCAGTCTACCGGCCCCAAGCAGACCATCGAGGCCCCCGCGGTTACCCATGCAGACACGGCGCCATGTACGCAGGCCTACGCTCTCCTCGGGGGGGGGCGCGCCAGTGACAGGGAGCAACCCCGAAACATTCCCTGAAGCTTACAATGAGATCATGAAAGAATGACACAAAAACTTGAATTTCTTTCCCTAAAACCTACTATGTGTTGGCCAAAATAAATTTATTTGGTATTAAAGAAAATGTTGGTGCTCCGGAGACCAAAAACAGCACCAAGGTCTGGGTTAAAGGTGCCAGTCTGCTCTAAGGCAAATGTCATGGGGTGTTCTAGAAGGTTGGCTGACAAGAGACTGCCAGGGACATTTGAGGGCAGCCTCCCCGGCTGCTGGCACGCCGGCTCACGCCACGAACATCTACCAAAAGTTCCTTTGTCCCAACTCTGAGAAAAGCACAGGGTAGACCCCAAACTACAAGACCATCCATCGCAATGACAGTACCTCAAGTCAAAATAATCCTGCTCCTTTCTGGTCTGGAAAACTGGGGCTAACAAGCCATGAGCCAGCCATTCCTGAATGAAGAAGAATTACAGTGAATAGTGTGCAGCCTCAAACGCTGCCCTCTTTCCAGGGGCTCCTTACAGCAGCAGTTAAAGGTGAAGATCTCCCGCGCCTGACCCAGAGCTGAGATGGCCAAGGGTCTGCATGAGAGGTGGGCAGGCCTGTCTCCGCCTCTCAGAGCAGTGTCTGCCCACACTGGGTCCACCAGCCTGGAGCGGGACCTGGCGCAAGTGAGCCGTGGGGTCCGCCGGGAACCTGTCTTACACAGCGCGAGAACAGGGTCCTTGGCTTCTCTGCCTGGCACCCCGCCAACACCCCTCAGGCCCAGCCGCCGCGGAGCCTCCCTCGTGGGCCTTCTACAACCCATTTCTTGCCATTGGTAACTTTTCCTCCTCCTCCTCCCCCTCCTAACCTAGCTTTCATTTTCTTAATCCTAACAAGCTTAATTTTCAACAAGTTTATAAAAAAGTGGCATCAAAACAATTTTTTTTTAACTGAAAAGGACTCCTATGAATAGTTAGCACAACCTCTTATATGTCTCCCACGAAAAATGTGACCCTCTGAGGGCTCGGCTGAGGCAGCCAAGGCTGCCTGGGCCGCTAAGAGGAGAGCCAGGAGCCCGGCACCTGCCCGCCGCTCGCATCCCACCTGCCCCCGGGCCTGCCTGATGCGCTTCTGCTTCTGGGCCGAGTCTCGTGCAGCCCCAGAAGTGGTCTGCCAGCTCTCCTGTTGGTGTTGGTTTCTGTAGTATTTAGCACCAAAAATATTTGCACTAGTGTAGTCTGCAAAGGAAGCATCACCAGAGGAGAATGGCAACGTTCCACCTGAGCCCGGAAGGACCAAGGGGAAGGCCCTCTCCAGTCCGGGGGTGATTTGTGCGTGATCTCTGCTGAGTGGGAGGGGCATCAAGTCCTTGGTCTGCTAACTACAGGGGGCTTAGTGACCCTCAAAATCCACTCCAAGGTCAGGGATGTAATTAGAGGGCAGCATGTGGTTCAAGTCCAAAGTAAAGAAGTGGGACGACCCTCGGCCATGGCAGCCTGCTCCCGGGGGGCACCCAGCAGCAGGTCGCCCCGGCTCAGCGCAGGAGGGGATCAACGGGGCACGCCACGGCAGGGGCGTCGGCCTGGGTGACCTGGAGCACCCAGCATCAAGCCACACTCCCACAGTCACTCCGGCACAGCCTTTTAAGGTGTGGGTGTTGGGATGGGGTGGCCTGGTGTGGCCGCACTGGCTGAAAAGATGTCATTTCAAGACTCATTTAACCACATACGCACTTTAAAAATAAATAAATAAATAAGTAAACCTTCACCAGTGCTTTTTGGGTGTGTCGAAAAGCTGGGAGGGGGAAAGAGACCAAATGCTCCCTCTGGGCCTAAAGTAGCTTCAGACACTTGGGCCTCTGAATTCCGGTGACGAAAGTGCAAGAGAGGTGCGTCCCCTTGGAGCCCAGCCTTCCCAGGCCTGCGGGCCTGCAAAGGCGGCCGCGCCTCCCCATGCCAGGCTGCCGAGGGCTGTCCTTAAGTTACAAGAGGCACTGAGACAAGAATGACACAGTAACAAAACGCACTTAGAATCCAAGGATTTCAGAGGTATAAGGAGCCAGAGAGAGTGGGGAAGAGAGTCAGGCAGGGCACCATGAGCCTCGCGGGCTGCGTCTCCGCACGGGAGGCACGCCACGCCCCACGCCCTCTCCAGAGCCCCTGGGCACTCTCCCGCTTCCCCGCTCTCTTCCCGACTCCGCTCCCCCGCCCCTGCCCCGGCCCTCGCCCACCTGTGTCCTCGCCAGCCCGCCAGCCTGGGGCGCGGGCTCTGCAGAGGCCCCGCCAGGGCGGCACAGACCACGCCCTCCCTCTCCACGCCGCCGCTTGCCACCGTCCTCCTGCTCTCACAATAGGCTGCCGCCTGCAGTGCACACGGCAAAGACGATACCCCACAGCCAACACGGAGGCCTGGGGACCGTAAGACCTGGGCACCAGGTGACCGCAGTCTCCTTCAGCGTGCTCTTTGTTCTCAAAGGTGCCTTCTGCCCACAGGCCCGCTGCCCCACCCCGCCCCAGGCCCTGCACCCTGCAGGTGTGTGAAACCCTCTCAGGCGCCTCAGGCCCCCGTCACCCAGCAGACTGCCCCCCTCCTGCCTGCCCGCCCCTTCTTCCCAGTCTGTCTGTGACTGTCAGGTTCTGGAAACACACAGTCCACGAGACAAAAGCCACGCAGGGTCCCCAGATGACTCCCTGCAGGGACAGCCTTCTCCGAGTCACCCGGCTCACAAAGAGACTGCACTGTGCAGTCCGCACTAACAGCGGCCCGAGGGCCCCCGGGAGAGAGAGCAACTGCTGCCACCCAACCAAGGACACCCACACCCAGCTCCAACCCCCGCCCTCTCCGCCCCCCCCCCCAAGGCCAGCGGAGCAGCCTCACTGACCCCTGAGGCCCACCGGCGTCCCGCAGTCCGAGCACAGCTCTTTTCTGTTTGAATAAAAACATTTGTTGGTCTACAAAAAGAAGCAAAACCACAAACACAGAGTTCAGTCCCGAACCCCACACAGGGAGGCCCGTGCTGCAGGTGACCAGGACGCCCAGAATGACAACAGTCCCTCAAGCCGGCAGGGCACGGTGCAGCTCAGGGCCCCCACGAGGCTCCGACGGGCAAAGACCAGTCCCTCAGGTCTCTCTGTGCTTGGCGTGAGGTGGCAGATGGGGCTGGTGGCCTGGGAGGGGTGCCTCCCGGCCTCCCCAGCAGGAGGCTCTGTGGGGCCAGGGTGCTGCCGTGCATGTGGCGCATGGCGCGGAGGCCTAGAGATGCTGCACTCGGTCCTTGACAGCAGCAGCCGGGAAGGCAGGGGGAGCCGGCACCAGACCAGACGCCCCCCTCTATCCCTCTAGTCAGGGCTCACGCTCATTAAGATGCCGGGCCTGCAGCACTGGCCACGCCTTGGACATCTCCGAGAGAGGCCTCGGCCCCTCCCCTGCCCCAGCCTCCGCCCACAGAAGCGATTCCTCAGCCCCTGCACTTTCACAGCAGCTCAAAGGCAGATGCATCGATCCCTCCGTGGACTGGAAATGTGAGCAGAATGCCAAGGGGCCGGCTGCAGGTGCCAGAGGCTTCCTCCACTGCTGGCTCCCTGAAGCGAGCCTGCCAGTCTCCCAGGCCCAGCCCCTCCTGCTCTGGTTTGCCAGACTCGGGCGGCCAGCAAGTGCGGCTAGGACCTCGGGGAAGCAGAATGCGAAGCAGAGGACCCAGAGGGGCATACCTTGTAAGGACCTACGAGGACTAAGTGTCTTGCAGTTGAGAGCCTCTGTATCTACCTGCACAGACAACAGGGCATACTGTTCCCTGCCCCCGACTGCCCCAAGGCCTGAATGTGGGAGGTGGGGCCAAGGGGCCCTTCCAGTGATGAAGAGGCGGGGGCGCTGCCTTGAGATGGGTGGAGGCTGCAGCGTGTTCTCTGTGGTTTTTGCAGTCCAGAGAGCCCAGGTCCTGAAGTTCTGAGAACAGATGACACATCCCTTTCGATGCTGGCAAGGAACTTGAGCACGGTTTACACCCGAGAAGGACGCAGTCCCGTGTCGTCAGGATTTTGTTTTGTTGTTGCTCTTTGTTCAGTGGTTACCTGTGGGCGCCACTGTTGACTCCCACAAGCATCAGGAGATGCTTTCCCTAGAATGGGCGAATTACAAAATTGTCTCAAAGCGGGCGAATTTCTCTTGAAGAGGGAAGGCATGGGGACAATGGTCAGAGGAGATGTGAGGCGCTTGGTCCAGTGCTAGTTCCTCGCTGGGCATGACGGGTGCAGCCTGCCCAGGCCCCTGTGCAGGGCGCCCCCAGCTCTGCCCGTCCCACCATGAAGGCCTCTGCTTCATCGCGGCCTCTGCCCTGCAGGGCTAGAGCTGACGCAGCGTGGGCTGCAGCTGGAGTCAAAGGGAATTGTCCCTTGTGTTCATAATATTTAAGAATCTCTGAGTTGTCATTACAGTCTTGTGGTTTCTTTATCAGCAGCTTCTCTCTGCATTAGAGAAGGTGTCTCTCTGTAGATATAGATAGATAGTTAGATATATAAATATATATATATATGCGCCAAATTGCCTTACAGCGTTTTTTTTTTCTTTCTTTTTTTTTTCAGTGTTGTATGAGTAGCAGGCACTTGAGTTTATATGAAGGTGTTCGCTTCAGTCACAGGTGGAGGGGAGGAGCTGTGAGGTGGGAAGGGGGCGTGTGAGGCCAGGGAAGAAGAGGCAACAGAGAGCGAACTCGTGACCACGGCCACCGCTAGCCGAGGATGTCCAGGTAGATGGGGGTGGCTTTGCCTAACGCGTGAAGGATCTTGTAGATCTCCTTGATGTTTAACCGCTGCTGCGGCTCCCTCTGCCAGCACCCAAGCATGACGTCGTACACCTCTTTGGGGCAGACTCGGGGCCGCTCCAAAACGCGGCCTTGGGTGATGCACTCTATGACCTGAAAAAGCGAGGAGAATGAGGACGTTACATCAGAGCTCAGCCCGGGCCCCAGCAGGAGGCCACCATGTCCCTGATGAGATTCCGTGCGGAGCCGCGGGCAGGGCTGAAGCCAGCGCGCAGTTTCTCGTGTGTCCTGTGTTGGGGGGGTCATGAGGATGGGGACCGGCACTGGCTGGAGGTGCCCACCGCTGCCCTCGGCACTCGGCCTCCTGGCCAGGCCTTCTGGCCTCCCAGTACCCGCTTCCTCTGCCTTCCCTGCTCCTCTTCTAGTCCTGAAGCTCATCCAGGTGACAGAGCTGGTTCACTGTCCACTTGGAGTGGGACTGGCCCCGGCTGTCTCTCCCCACGTAGGAGCCTGCACGACTCTGAAACCCTCTTGATGAAGCTCTGCACCATCTGGGCCCTCACGGCCACCTCCCCTTCGGCCCCACGCCCTGGCGAGCTCCCCTCAGTCACGGCCTCTGTGCGCACCACCACGCGGGCCTCTGAGCTACGACATAGGTCCCTTCCTGGCAAGGCCCCTGCCCCGACCTCTGCTCTAAACCACACGTGCCCTTCCTTCTACAGCCCTTCCTCGCCGGGAAGAGGAGGATCCAATGTCTGCTAGGACCACCTCCTAGGACTGCTGTAGGGACCAAATGAGAACCGGAAAAGGGAAAGCAGTGACGAGGAGTGGGGGAAAGCAAAGCACGCAATGCGGGGCCTGGCCCAGCTGGGCCCTGTAGGACCCAGCCTGTAATTTGTGCTCCATTTTCAATTCCTCAATGGAACTTTGCTGATGCTGAATATGTGACGTTTCAAGGTGTCACCTTCCAGTTCTCAGTTAGGTTTAACTTCCCTGACTACTCACTCCATCGCTGCAAAACCTGGGGCAAGTCACTTGCCTTGATCTGCAGCTTCCTCATTTGAGGACAGGTGGCAGTGACAAAAACATACAGAAGCGTCTCCAGTTGATACCTGGAACATGTTACTTCCCCTCTTTGCCTCCACTAGTGAAGGCTTATTTGGGGGAGAGAAGTGTCTCTTGTCTCCTGCCATCTCCCCACGCCATCCCCAACAGCGCCTGGTCTAGCGTGTTGCCGCGTGTTACTCTGACCCTGGGATGGCCTGTCAAAGCATCATTATCACCTTCCTGATCAGGTTCACTCGGAGTCTGCGATGGCTCCCTGGCTCACTTCTCTGCCATCCTGACAGGTGCCCAGCAGCTCACGTGCCCTATTCTGATTAGAGCCCTGTGCCCACCCATCGCCCCCTTCCCAGAAAAAGGGACTCAGTTCGAAGGGCAGCAGTGGCTGCTGGCGCCAAGACCAATGCACACAGCAGTGTCCCCGTCCGCGTCGTCCACTTCCACAGAGAACCCAGGTACCAGTGGCTGCCAGGACTTGGCTGCTGCAGTGGCCGGAGAGGGAGAGGTGACGGGGTAGGACACCCGCCTTCAAGGCCGACGCCCCACCGGACAGTTTCAGGAATGACCACAGACACTTTCTCAGCTAGAGGAACCAGCCTGGGGGTCCAGGACAGCGGCTGCCTGTCGCACTCTCAGCCCAGGTCCCACCTTCACAGGGCCACCAGACCGCCCGAGCTGTGCTCAGAGGACACGTCTGTGCGGGTGTGCAAGGTGCATGCGTGCGCGAGCATGCTCACCGCCGCTCCCAGCCCCAGGGAAACAGCAGCAATCTTTAAAAGCACCACAACAAATGGGCTCTGACACACACTTGTTCACTGTTTTTCAAGGTCATTAAACTGTTTTGTCTTATTTTAGGAAGTCTGAGCAGGACCCATTCAGCTTGTAAATGATGAGATACTACAGATTCAACGAAATGCCTCCTTTGCAGCCTTTGACATTCACTTAATTAAGTGGTCAGGACACGGGAAGGCAAAGATGAACACAGCTTCCAAGAAGAGAGATAATTTCTTGAATATCCAGATATGATTCCAATGTTAAAAGGCCCTCATGCTCCTGTTTTCCTGGAGAACGGAAGGCCATAAAAATGAACGCCATCTTGCATAGGTCTGTCGAGCAGGCAGACCGAGCCCCCCGCTGCCTACAAACTGCACCGCATCCAGGGGTCTGCATGACTCCAGTCCAGACGGAACGGAGGCCCATCCGACTGGCTTTGGAAGCAGCAGCATCCTGTGGCCATGGCCCCAGCCTCCGCCGCACGGCAGGCTCTCTCACCTCCGGGGCCCTGGCCAGTCCAACTCAGGGCCCTCCCTCCCCCTCCCTTCCTGCGTCTTCAATCTCAACAGGTGTTTGTGTGGAAAGTACTGAGTCAACATAGCTGGCATGCTTAGAGAAATGCCTGGCACTAAGTATTACTTATTAAAATGTGATTAGTATTTTTTATTATTAGTGTAAATTAAAATTATACATAGGGTGTTTATCATTACCATGTTTATTATTATAATTCATTTTCTTCCCAGGAGTCCACACACAGCTCTATCAATAACGTGAACTTGGCCTTCTGGATTCACGGTCCTGCCCGCTCCCAGGCCTGATGTGCCTAAGACTTTTGGGGACACAGGTTACCTGGCCACACTAAGTGGAAGGCGTTTCCACAAGGTGGCACAATCGAAAAACTCGTGGCTGTTCTTTGTTATCCTTTGCTCTCTTAGTGCAGCACTGGTAATTTTTAAGTAGAAAAACAAACAGAACCGCGACTGGCACCTCAATTCAGACATCTGATTTCACACTCTCTTGAAAATTATACCTCATTTCCTACAGATATAATTTTTTTTCCTACTAAGAAGCTCTCCCCCGACTCTTTCTTATGCCCACATCTGCTCTACTGGCTCCACCCTCCTGTTCTATACACGAGGTCTAAATCCCGGCCTGAGAATCACTCATCAGCCTTTCCCTGACTCGAGGCGCCCACCAGCCCGGCCCTGTACCTCCGTGTTGGAGAGCTGGAACCAGGGCTGCTTCCCGTAGGTGAAGATCTCCCAGAGGATCACCCCAAAGCTCCACACGTCGCTCTCCGTGGTGAACTTCCGGTACATGATGCTTTCAGGGGGCATCCAACGAATGGGGAGCATGGTGTGTCCTCCAACCTAACAGGGGTCAAGACAGAGGCACACAGAGAGTGACCAGGTGGCCAGAACCAGCCCCGTCTCTCTACTCTTCATAAGGAGACACACTCCGGATGCATTTTACTTTAAGACAGACAGCACTTCATGCAGCTTGTATTGGAGGCCAGTGGAGCGGCTGAGAGAGGAGACCCAGAGTAGTGGGGGCAGCTAGAGCAGCAGTTAGAGAAGACACCTAAGCGAGGGTGAGCTCCTCGGCACTGAGTGCAAAGAAGGACCACGAGATAATCTCAGGAGGAGAGAAGGGGTCAGGACCTGGTGCTACAGGAAATCTATCCCTAAGAGGACATGGCACGGGGCAGGGGCGGTGAGCAGAGCCCCTGAGCCAGGCCCCCAAAGCATTGGAGTGTGTGCAGACCTCGGGTCAGACCCCCGGGCCAGCGTGGTTAGGGCACGACAGGGTCCACGTGCATCTCATCTATAAAACTGGGACTTTGGCTTCTGTACGACAACCCTGATTTTCTCACCACAACCTAGATCTCAGTGTTGCAAGTGGAGGGCATGGGCAAGTCCCGAAAGGACAGAAGACCGCACACTAGTAAGTAATCAGGTGGGCCAAAGAGAACGCACAACAGTTCTTGTAAGAGACTCAAAGGCCAGTAAGCAGAAACTCTTAAAACAGCCACGGGTGGGTCCACAGATCTGGGAGCCAAGGGCACAGGGACGTGACTCAGGGGGGCTCTTCCTGAGAAAGACATTAGGGGAACCCTCGCCACCCAGCAGGCTGGTGGTGGTAGCATAGGTGAAATTCATGGCATGTTTTAGAACCATGGAACCAACCACACCATTAGTAAACAGAAGCTTAGAAATTGGAACTTTGGGCCCTGGCCAGGCAGCTCCGGTGGACAGAGTGTCACCCCATACGCCCAAGGTCACGGGATCAATCTCTGGTCAGGACACATACAGGAGGCGACCAGTGAATGTCTCGATGGGTGGAGTAACAAATGGATGTTTCTCTCTCTAATAATCAATTTAAAAAACAATGTTAAACAATAATGAACTTTTGGTTAATACGTGGAGTTTATTGCTAGAAAACTGATTACTGCTGATAAAAAGAGCTCTCCACAAGTGTCTGATAAACTATTAATCAGAAGATTCATTGCTATGGTAGACCAGTTGGAGGACTAATACTAAACATTTAAGAAAGAATGACTTGTTGGGAGAACAGCAAGCTGACTTCTAAAAAGAGAAATCATGTTTGCCTTATCCACCTGAAGTCTTTTAGCAGATCAATAATAATATGGGTTGGCACAAGTTGTTTTTGGCCTGGGATTTTAGAATCGAGACAGCTCTGTGTCAGGGTCAAGACAGGTGATGATGTTTCTTTCAGACAAGCAAAGACTCAGAAACCTGACCACTCACAGCCTTTCAGAAAATGAAGGAACAAAAATGGAGGATGTACTACAGAAAAACAGAAAAAAAAATTTAAAATATACAATGACTTTGGATACAACAGACAGTGCAAAGCAAATAAGCCACAAAAATGCATTTAAATCTAAATAAAGGTTGCTAATTTGGTAGTAAAATGTGATACAATTACCAATAAAGGCCTCTATAAAATAGACATAAAGTAAATAATAATACTAATAATGCTAATAGCATCACCACAGCCACTATTAGCAATACTTATTTGGAATGAAACTTTTAGATAATTTCAGCCCTAAGTGCACAGAAAATCAGGAGGAGAAATAATTAAAAGCCTGATAAAGACTTTCTCTTCATCAAGAAGAGGCGGGAGCTCACCGCCAGCCATCAGCAGTTGACTATAACAGCTTAAATTTAAATGGGCTTGCTAAAATTTTAAAGTAGCTTCTAGAAGAATAGAAATAATATATATTGCTTCCAAATCAGTTTTAGGAAAACAGGACGAAAAGTCTCTAATACCAGAATGACTACAAAAAGGATTGGGATAATGGTGACTAGAAGGCATAAAATGAAAAAGTTTAAATAATATCATTATAGACAGTAAGTGCAAATACTATCTCTTAAATAAGAAACAATGTTAAAAATATAATGCATGTTCTTCAGAAAAGATATCTATAAATATCAGAAAATATTAAAGAGGAAAGAATGCAAAATTGCAATAAAGGAAAAAGCACATATATGTTGAATATAGAATATTCAATATACAATATAACATATAGTAAATATATGTTAAAATTGATTATATATAAGAAAAAATTGCAGGATGCCAAGAACCATATGGCAGCAAAGTGATTAATATCATATTTGAAGATGGCAAAATTCACCATTTTGATAATTATAAACTTTTATGCTCCAATTAAAATAGCAATGGAAAAGTATTAAAACAAGTTATAAATAAAAGAAAACTGACACAGCTACAATTACAATTAAAAAAATTAAAACACTCATTTCACAAATTAGCAGATCAAGAGTACAACATAACTGAAGATACATTTTTAAAATACAAATAATGAGTTTTAACTGTTCAGCCTCCCTAAAAAGTTGCTTATTAGTCTCAATTATCTAAAAAAAAAATTATTATAAACCCCAACCACTGTTGTACCTCAAAGGAAATCTGAAATTCCGCTGGGAAAAAAGTAAACAATATAAAGTAAAAGTAAGAAACATTTACTCTACCAAATAAAATAAAATAGAAATGAAAAACAAAAGGGTAAATTTTTTAAAAGGTTTTCTTTGGTCAATTGAAAAAACTGTTTAGTATAAAAAATAATTGAAAGTAAAATTTAAAACTTTCATAATAATATGAATTAGAGCCGAAGTAATTTTTGGAAAAAATTATAGCATTTAAGCACTTACTTATAAACTAGTTAAAATAGAATAAAATTAAGAATTCAATTTTTTTAAAAGGTAACAAAGACCTACAAGACAAATTTATGGAAAGTAAGAAAAAATAAATAATAAAAATATAATGAGGAATTGGTATAAAACGAAGCAAAGAAAACAAATAACCAAAGGGCATGGGAGGCAGATTATATCCACATAATCAATTGTTAGTTCTTCCCAAAGTAACGTAAGCCTTTAGCAAGGTTAATGAGGGACACAAAGAACACAATGTAAAAATGGTAAGAATTCTGCAACAATGCCCTGGCTGGTGGGGCTCAGTGGACCCAGTGCTGCCCTGTGAACCAAAGGGTTGCAGGTTCAATTCCCAGTCAGGGTCCATGCCTGGGTTGTGGGCCAAGTCCCCAGTAGGTCGGGCGTGCGAGAGGGAACCACACGTTGGTGTTTCTCTCTCTCCCTCCCTTCTCCTCTCTCTAAAAATAAGTAAATAGATAAAATCTTTGTTTAAAAAGAATTTTGCAACAATAAAATGTGAAATATAGATGCCATGATTGAGTTACTAGAAAATAATTTTTACAAAGTTAAGAAAACTAAAAACTTACATACAAAAACACTTTCAATTATAGTTTTAAAAAGAACCCTATACATTAAAAAAGAATAAGGACAAGATTCTTTTATGGCTGAGTTCCACTAAAGCTTTCTATCCTATTTATACTTTTTCAAAACCAAACCAAAACAAAACAAAAAGTAAATAGAACTTCCCCAAGCCATATTCTGTGGCTTGAATATCCCTGTTGACAAAAATCAGTCAAGCTTAGCAAACAGTCTTTACTATATGAATTCGGAAATAGGTATTTTATTTATATACATGTAAAACTATCTCTGTCAGGAATACAGTGCCAAAATCTAAATAAAATATCATCAAATCAGCAATAGATTATAATTCCATATTATAACTCAATAAGTTTTATACTAGAAATGAAAGAATGCCTCAGTCTTAAAAATCTTTTTAATTTACTAAGTTAAAAGATTAAAGAAAGAAACATTATCCTTTTGGAAGATGCCAAAATTTTCCAACACCCTTTCCTGATTCAAAGCTCTAATTCATTACTAACAGAAGGTAACTTCCTTTATTTAACACGGTAACCATCATATTTACTGATAAAATGGTAGAAGCATAGAGGTATCTTCTCTCCCTGATTTAATGCACCACTATTTAGGTGGGGTCCTAGCCAATGTAATAAAGCAAGAATTAAATCAAGGTAAAATATAAAAAGGAGGAATCAAAATTACCATTGTCTGCATATGATGTGACTATTCAAGACAATTAAATAAAAAGCAACTAGAACAATTACATGATTTAGTAAGCTACCCAGATGTAAAATGAACATACAAAAATCAAACTAATCTCTCACACCAGTAGCAAGGACTTCAAAATTCAGTGGAAAATATGATTGTTTGTACAAAAGCAACAAAACATTAAAAATTCCTTCACATAAACCTTAGCAGAAAATATAGAAAGTCTATCTAAACAAAAATGATGAAAAACATAAGATTAGAACAATTAGAAAAATATGTCTTTTCTTTGGATAAAAAGACTCAGTACCCTAAATCTCATCAATCTCTCATTTCTAGTTCAAATTAATCTAAAAATTCAACACAATCCAAATAAAACCCCAATGGAATGATGTATGGAAATTGATACAATGATACCAAAAGCCATTTAAAGAGTAAATACTTAATAAAAACTAAGAGATACTTGAAATAGAACAACAAGGGAGTATTTATCAGATGGTAATACATATTACCAAACTACAGCAATGAACACACTGTGTTATTGGCATAGGAATAGACAAATTTTGTTGATCGATGGAGCAAAATAGAGTCTAGAAGCAGACCCATATATAAATATCAGAATTAAATATATGAAATGATGGGTTAGTAAAGCAAAGCATTGGGACAATGAACTATTCATTTAAAAAGTACACTTAGATACCTACCTCACACCATATACAAAAATCATTTCCAGATGGATTAAAGAGCTAAACATAAAAAACAAAACAATAATAATATTAGAAGAAAACTTAGAAAAGTACTTGTATAACCTTAGGAGAAGAAGACCTTCCTAAATAAGACACATGTTCAAGAAGCCATAAAGAATAGAACTTAGAGATACAACTTGTAAAAGTAAATACTTC